AGTCTGAGAAATCTCTTGGTGCGATTGTATCTCTTGCTGTCTGAATTATCTCAACGTTTTACAGAGAGTCAAATCGCTGCTGACATTGCGGACCTCGACTTTGAGCCTGGCCGGGAGATATTCGAGGTCTATGATCCCAATCTCGACTCTGACACGGGTATACTTGGTGCGTTGGTCTCTCGACACTTTGATTTCCCAGACTCACCACTCTAATAGAAGAAGACTCGCCTTACCCAGAGGTCAGAAGTGCTGTGGCGAATTTTGACGATCCAAAGATGGCTTCATCGACTTTGAGAGCCTGGGTTCTCGGTCTCTCATTTGCAGCTCTGATACCTGGCTTGAACCAGGCATGTCGACTTGTCTTTTACTTTTTATTATATTATTGATGCCCAGTCCAGTTTTTCTTCTTCAGGTATGTATCGATTATCTCGCACTGCTCTCGCTAAGCTTTGCAGGTATCCTACTGTGTCGCTTAACACGGTACGTACGACTCATCGCCCTTCAGCCTCTTTTGACCTTTTTTGTAGCTTGTTGTACTATTGATCGTGTTTCCCATTGGCCGAGCTTGGGCGCGATTTCTTCCGAATGTCACCATATTTGGGTTGCAGCTGAATCCTCCAGGGGGTTTCACGATAAAGGAGCACGTCGTGAGTCTCACTACCATGACACTTGGACTTATTTTAACTCGTGTCAAACAGCTTGTCACCGTGATGGCAGGCGTAGGCGCTCAAGCAGCATATGCGACTGAGATTGTGGCAGTGCAAAGAGTGTACTACCACAGAGTACACGCCTTTAGCTGTACGTATCTCCTCTTTGATCTTGTCGAAATATTTCTCAAGGTGACACAGTTCAATGGATGTTGGTCATGAGCACTCAGCTTATGGGCTTCTCCATCGGCGGCCTCACTCGTAAATTCCTTGTCGCGCCGCCTTCCATGAGTATGGCTGTTCATTCTGGTCAATGCTGCCATGCTGAACAGATCTCTAGTTTGGCCAAATACTCTGGTCGCCTGCTCGTGAGCTTTCTTGGATCATTATTTTCTTCTTTTGACGTGTAAATCTTTGCAGCCTTTTCAACACGCTGCATTCGCAATCTTACGTCGGAGTAGGCACCCACGAAGGTCCCAGTCGAGAGCGGTACTTCTTGATTGCCTTTGTTAGTGCAATTCTTTGGTGTAAGGTTCTGTTAACTGTCGGACCATCCTCCCTCATTCTCCACCAGATCTAGTGCCCGGATATCTGTTTCAAGCTCTGAGGTTAGTCTCGCTTAATAAATATGTGAACCAATCTTACATGCCGAGTCTTTCAGTGTGTTCTCATGGGTAAGGTCCTTGTCTATTTTGACATCCCGCGAAGCGTTATCTTTCAATCCAGGTCTGCTGGATAGCGCCGAATAATGTCGTAAGTTGATCTTTTAATTCACGGCGGGCCGATGCAGTGCTGAAGCAGACCAGAAACTCAATCAACTTTTTGGGTAAGTCGCAGTTTCTGGAAGGATCAATCGATTCGACGACACGCCTAGATATCGAAGCGGCCTCGGTTTCTCGATTCTAACTTTCGATTGGAATCAGATCGCCTTCATTGGTAGCCCGTGAGTTTTGTTCACTTGCAGTACTTGGCTTGGTCTCACATTCGATAGACTTGCGACACCATGTAGGCTACTGTGTTGGAGATATGTATCTCACTCATCTTTCCTTAGGGTGGGCTGAATTTAATATCGGCCTAGGGCAAGTCTTGCGCTCCTCTTCTCATCTAGGCAGCTGACCTGATCAACCAGTTTCGTTTTCTTCTATTGTAAGTCCGGCGAATGACTGCAGTCCTTCCATTGAACTCTAGCAGGGTTCGTGACGCCTATCCTCTACTATAAGAATGTCTGGTTCGCCCAGTACATGCCGTAAGAGCTCGACTTTATGGCCCTTCCAGGCTCATCTATTTCTCCTAGAATATCTTCATCAATCGCGTATGACAACACGGGAAAGCAGGTGTGTGAATTGACCTTGTTGTTTTTTACTTGCTTTATTTATGACGAAAAACAGTTCAACGTCTCGCGCATTATAAATGCCGACGGCATGTTCAACATTACCGCATTTCGAGAATACAGCCCGCTTTATCTCTCGTACGTGGTCCTTCTGAATCCCAAGATCATCTTGAATTCTTTTATAGAACGACGTTTGCAATGTCATATGGCCTATCATTCCTCAGCATCACCGCCACTGTCACTCATGCCTTAATCCATTTCCGCAAACCCATCCAATTACATTTCAAGCGGTCACTGAGAGAACAGCCAGATATCCACGCTCAACTCATGTCCAAGTATCCAGCTGGTATGCCGCAAGAGTTTTTGCTGTCTGCCTTGGTTCATCGTTTATAGTGCCTGAATGGTACTTTGGTTGTATTTTTGGTATGTTTCCGTCTGATCTTAGCCGCGAATTGAATTTTTTACAAAACAACAGTGGTCACCTTCATTCTTGGATGTGTCTGCATCGAACTCTGGCATGTAAACATGCCGATCTGGGGCCTTATTGTCGCGCTTGTCATCGGTATGCCGCGTCTATCTTTATTTCAGAAGACTCTGACGTCGTTAGCTCTCTTCTATGTCATTCCTATCGGTCCGTTGGTCTTATCTCGCTGCATCTTCTGTTTATCTCAATCCTCCTTCATCAGGAATGATTCAAGCTGTTACGAACCGGCAAATTGGGCTCAAGTCGGTTTACATAGTTTGATCTTTCCCGGCCTGACATTGGTTGCAGCGTTGTGACGGAATTGATCATTGGGTTCTTGCGACCTGGTAAGCGTTCAATGATTTGCCGTCTTCATGCTCACTGGCTTAGGCAACCCTCTCGCAATGATGGTGTACGTCTGACAGATTATTCCAGTCGATTATCCGTTGATCTTTTCTAGATTCAAGGTTTGTATTCGATACGATGTGTTCTACAAGTCCTAAACTTGCATCTAGACTTATGGATACATCACAATGTCTCAAGGTGAGCTTGCTCGTATAGGTTCTGAAGTCATCTCATAGTCGCAGCTATGCAATTCACTGCCGACTTCAAACTCGGACATTACATGAAAAGTGCGTCTTTCGTCTCGAACCTCCGATATTGACCCGTTAAAAACATTTCAGTCCCGCCGAGATCCATGTTTTGGTGCCAGGTGAGCCTTGAGCGCCTTCTTGTCTCACTCGGACCCACTGTGCTAGGTTGTATCGACCATTGTTGCAGGCACTGTTCAGTTGGGCGTCCAATCATGGTAAGCCAGCCAATTTCTTCGTCAGGTCACCTTCTCATCGAATTCCAGGATGTTCGCTACTATACCGTGAGCGCTCTCCTCGTCGGAAACACTGTTCCTTATCCTTCTAGCGACATTTGCGACGCTAATCAAAAGGACAAGTAAGTTTATCAGCGCCAATTATGGCATCTAGGGCTGATAGTGGCGTCAAGCTTCACTTGTAACTCGATCCAGGTCTTTGGGACCGCCTCTATTATCGTGGGTAGCTGGGCCCTTTGATCCAGTTGATATTGACTATTGGCCAGTGGGGAGCGATTGGACCTGGACTGCAGTTTGCGAGGAATCAAATCTACTAGTACGTCTTGCCTACTTTTCGCTACCTGGCTAATGCTACTTTGCAGCGGTATGAAACCTAGCGGCGTCTGGTTATGCACTGACGGTCCTCAGCGCTTGTTTTTTTCTTCATTGTTGGCGCCGCATGTCCTATACTATTATGGATGGTAACAAGGAGATACCCACACTCAATCTTAAACTATCTCAAGTGCGTTTGGTACCTGCTTTCGTTATCCATACTGATCCGTTACATTAGTTTTCCGTGAGTCGTTAGACCGAGTGGAGATTTTAGCTAACAGATCTGCAGATTGATATTCTCTGGCGTTGGATCCATACCTCCAGCGACCGCGTCGAATTATTTGTCTTGGTTGATTGTTGGCTTCATCTTCCAATACCTCGTTCGACGGAAAAACTTCGCTTACTGGGCGAAATATAATTGTGCGAAATGGGTGACTTGTCGCGGTAATTTGGCATTGACCTTTCAACAGATGTTCTATCGGGCGCCCTTGATGCTGTTCGTATACTTTCAGTAGTAGCTGATATGTTTCTGACGGGTCATACAGGGTACTGGAGTCGGTGTACTTGTTGTTTATTTTTGGTATGTTGCTTCGTGTCGCTCGCTGAAGTGCTGACGGTTTGCAGCTTACAGTACCCCTTGAATGGGCAAATCGGGGCCAATACGATTCATCAATGGTGGGGCAACACCGTTTTCAAAAGAACCGCTGATTGGAATCAGACTCCCTTGAGGAAATTGGGAGTAGGTGAGAAATTTGGGTAAGTCAAGCGACTGTCTGGACTGAGCGTCGTTGATGCTTTGCAGGTCATAGAGGGACTGACTCTGTTGTATAAATAGGGATGTAATAGTGTGCTATATATTAATTTCATCTACTGCTTTACCCATTGCAAGCCAGCCTTCCTGAAGGCCAAGTCATGGATTTACGCTACTACGGTCAGTATCCAGGTGGCATAATTTAGAGTGATAGAGTGCTTTTATTGACGGTCATTAATATGATGTCAGTTGCCAGAGGGCTGGCAAAGTGAGTTGATGCTGTACCAAGTCCGTTCAGGAGTGAACATTCGATGTCGCGCCTGATGGCCAAGTCATCAGCCAACAACAAACGGGTGGCATACTGTAATTTGGAGCAAATTTGAAGCTAATAACGTAGTTTTGTTGCATATAACAGTCAGTAATATGTACCTCATTACAATTGCGAGATGACTTTTTGATCGGTGCGGTTTCGGGCAATCTGGCGCCACACAGCCAGACTCGAACTCAGTATCACAGTGAATCACGTGTACGATGAAACACAAAACTCAGGTGTTCATAGGGCTTCATTTTGAAGCGTTTGAAGCTCGGAACATTGAGATATAGGGTAAAAGGTCTGTTTGAGCTATTCAAGGAGATCTGGAAGGTGAAATCTGGGTCTCAAAACAAAAGAACGACCACCCTGAGACTCGAACTCAGACTCTCTAGCTACTGACGGGCACAATATGCCTCTAAGCCGGAAACTAGCGCGTTAACCATTACGCTAGGCGGCCGAATGTCAATGGATCAATTGAGTCGTAATCGACTTCCCCACGGTCCTACATGGATTTCCGACGCTTCCAACGCTTCCAACGGCTATATTACATGCCCCCCCTCGTAAAGAACCCGAATATCCAGAGTGGAGCATTGCTGTAATCATATATCGGGCATATAACCAGAATCCATCCCGTGGCGCAAAGGTCCTGAATCGCCGCCACCCAGGCTCCCATCACTTCGAAAACTCTCCCCATTCATTCTCTACATGTATACGAACCCGAATATGTATTTTCTTTCTCTCATTTCCTTCCCCGGGACCCCAGGGTAAGCACAATACCTGGACCGCATACAAGTCAGATGATCGATCACCAACTCTTACCTCCCATCGAATCCACCGCGGGTTCCAACCCCTTGTATGAATACATGACACGCTTTTCATTATTATTAGTAAAGGTATAATTACTTCTGCGCTCATACCGGGCGCATATATCTGGGTGGCGCAAAGACCCAGAACCACGGGACATCATTCCGACCTGGACTCCCATTCAGTCCACTATGTGCGCCCAGATTGCGTATTAAATGACTTTCGCCAACCCTCATACCGCTGGGTGGAGAATGAAACACAGCACGCGTCAGCTAATGGATTGACTGATACATAGTCATTGATTCATCGTTCCACTATGATTCAATCTGTTCGACCCTCTCTTTGTCAATCTTCTCGCAAGCTTGGACCTCGGCTCAATAAGTCCTCTTATGAACGTCGGAAGATTTCACAACCCTGACATATGATGGGGATTGATTGCTTCGAGTATCCTGCTCGCTTCAGTTTCGAGAATGGCCAGCACGATATCAGATTTCAAGTCTCGAGAGATCCCGGTCTGTCAGTATGCTGCTGATATCCGATGCAGTGCCAACTGAACAAAAGCAGGGCGATCAGCTTGTGTCCCAGTATATCTCAAATAGATACCTCAAGAGTTCAACGAGTAGGAATGAAAATAATCGCCTCTCGAAATAACAAAGTCCCAATATAACAATGAGATTACACCGCGACGACGAAGGCAACCTGTTAGTTCGACATCGGCAAACCTGACAGCAACCGCGCTGCGGGAAAAGAAGAGAGACGCATCAAAGCCATAGGAAAACAACATTGCAGGGAAGCTGGCCGCAAAGGCTCGACGGTCATCCTCGTTTAGACAGCATTAATTAAACAACCATGTTCATTGGTCTGTTTACAAAAAATGGAGGGAGAAACCCCCGATTCCACAGCAGAACAAAAGCATCAAAAACCTACACCATCTCGCGCCAGACATCTACTTTCTGGGCCTTTTCTTGACCTCTTCATCCTTGCATGCGTGAAGCATAATCTTGTTCGGGTGCTGGGGGGTCATTCCTGAATGTCCCTTGTGCCAGTCGTATGAGACAGCATAGGCGAAAATGTTGCCATTTCGGTTGAAGGCCGTGCAGGCGATGGGGCCAGGAGCAGCATCGAATGCTATGGAAGGTCAGTCAAAGGCAGAACAAGATATATTGGGTATTTACTCTTTAGACGGGTTCGGGCATCTTTGTCCCAGAAGTGGATAGTCCCATCGGATCCTGAAGCGAGGTCAGCGAAATAAAACCTATAATGGATCAACGCACCACAGGTGGAAAATGTTCCATGGACCGGATGGAAAGAGATGTCATTAACAGCGTACACCAGAGATTGATCTTTGTTAGTCGGAGAACTGTCGCGGCGGTGACACTTGAACGAAAAGTTGTTGCTAAGAAGTACTTGTTAGCCAGCATTTCCTTTTAGGTTAGGTTTTCTTACGCAGAATCCTTTTCTTCAACATATCTGTGTAATAAAGGTCAGAAAAGATCGCTGGTCGATGAAAAACTCACTGGATGGCAACTCGACCCTCTACGCTGCCCAGTGCAAATCCACTGTTTTGGGATGCCGTAAAGCAAGCGACTGTACGGGTTTGCCATTTGAGTGGGGAAGGAATGGTCTATGATATGAATGAATAAACGAGACGCGTAGAAGATTGGTCAAAACGCGAACCTTATAAGGAACCGTCGGATTAGACAAATTGAATATTTGAATATGCCTCTCGGCGGTTCCGACGACCATCAGAGGATACTGAACATCGAAACTATAGCATCGTTCCGGAAGGGTTACAGAGGCCACCGGTGCTTGAGCTCGCAGATCCCAATACTAGTCGGAATTAGTCAATTAAAAAAAATTAAAAAAGGCCAGAAAATTGACCTTTATCGTTTTATCCCAGCTTCCTGTCGCAAGGATTCCACCCTGAGCGTCGACCCACCTCACAGTTTTGATGGGTGCTTCATGCTGGGCGACCTGGGTTGTCTGCCCTGTGGCAATGTCGAACATGCGCCCAGCATTATCAGCTCCTCCTGAAAATAATTTGTCGCCGGTCTATAGTCCGATAAACAGGTGCTTGTATGAGAGCGGTTGACTGACCTTGCTCCAGCAAACGGATAAGACTGGTCCCTGATGCTGGTACATGGCTTTGCCTTGGGTCTGGCCGCCACTCATAACTTCATAGATTCGGACCTATAGCGAGTGAAACACGTGAATCCTGCGTATTCTTGGGCCCAGTAGACGAAGACTTGCGCTGTTGTCCCAACTTCCCACCGCGAGGTAATCCGCCTGATTGGAAAAAGACAAAGAGGAAATAGAGTCAGAAGGCGGGTCAGCCATCTCGACATCTTTTTCTGCTGTCGCAGACGTCGATGCGGCGACCGCAGGGGCTCCCGCATTGAAGAAAGACATGGTGAAGACGAAGCTACGTTCCCGGTTGAGTTGTGACCAATGTCACATACGTCACGACCGGCTCCGATTCTGATCTCGTCAAGTTTATCGAGTTTGTTTCCTACTCCGATTTCTTGCTCAATCGCAGTGGCAGGGAGATAATACCATGGTTCTTTTCGGCACCAGTCTTTGCCGTACTGGCCTTATCTAGAGATCTTCTGTTTTCTATTATCCACCCGATAATACTCATGACGCGTCAACTGTATCCAAGATACTTTCCTAGGAGCACATATGGAAGGAGATCTCAAGTTTCTACGCATTTGACGTCCTATTCGCTCCTTATGCTCGTTCAACCTTGACGAGCGATTTCATCTCCTCCGAGTCCTGGGCTCACTCTTTCACCAGCTTCTCCAATATCTTGCAGGGCCACAAGGCTATGATCTCAATATCTAGACGGAGAGCCAATGTCTAGGCCTCCTCCCCGTCGAGGTAAGACCAGAACACGTTCAGATTCTTTAGATTTCTTCTGACACTTACAAGAGTACTTTCAGACATGACTTTTCCGGTGGTGGACGTCTGCAAACAACTAGTAGGTTGGAATCATATTCGTTGCCTAGTTACCGATCTAGACTTTGGGTTCCACGGCCTTCCACGACTATATCCTATGCCGCAGTCCGAAAGTGATTCAGATTCGTTTGCTTCCTGCTTCACCAATTCTTCACCATTGTTTCGTCTTCAAGCAGCCTGATCTCTTTGCATAGCTTCCAGAATTCAACGGCCTGGTTCACCCAAGCAACACCACTGAAGCTATGCAAGATACGTCTGACTGATGGACTGCTGTGCCAGTGATGATCGATGATGGGATGATGGAGCGTCGGTAAACTGATCTTCTCAGCCTTCTGGGTCCAAAGGACTGGCAGAATATTAATGGTTTACTCAGCAGCAGCGCTGGTCGCCGCTCCTCTCACAATCTCGTTTACTTTTCTCTCCAATCTCAAAAGCTGACGACAGCGGCGTCGGTTCCTCTTGAGGTGAAAAAAGACTAGCCCACTTCTCGTCGTCGTCGTCTTCTTCTTCGCCGTCTTCGGCTCCTCCACCAAAAACCCAGGCTGAGAAAGGCGATAAACGGAAACGGGTCAAAAGTGACAAGGAGAAGGAGGCTGCCCAGAAACGTAGAGAAACCAAGATCCGTGGGGCATGAGAAAGCGAAAGCAGCGTCAAAAGAGCGTACAAGAAAAATGAAGGAAGGAGGACACTCCACAAGAGGACGCCCAACTTGGACGAGTACAACTATATGGAATAGTAAGACAACCAAATTGACTCGAAAAATCATTGGCAGATGAAAGACCTACTTAACGTGAAGTGCAAGTCTTGTATACAATCGAGGCAGGTTGAAGCACAATTCTTCTTCGTTCAAAGTCAAATCGATTCGAGTACATATCTTGAGACTTATTCCTATCATAAAACTGTTTAACAGCTGAGCTTGCCACAAGTCTTGCAGCTGTTCAAGTGTTATTCAGTAGAACAGAATTTCATGACGAAATCATACCTGGTGCGAACCCCAAAGTCACAGGTAGAGCCGCTGGTCGAGCATTGGAAGACGTGCGAGGACGGGCAATTGGCGTTGATCTTGCTATTGCCACAGAAAAGCCCAGAAACCTTGTTACACTTGCATTTGGAAGCGACACAAGCTCTCTGTGAACACGGTCAGTCTCGATATCAAGTATGAAAAGAGACAAAGACTTGCAGCTTCGAGAGACCTGGCCTCGAATTCAAGACCAAAGTCAGGGACTGGGGCGGGAGACCTCTATAGCACTATCAACGCGATATCATACAAGGTGATATCCACTTACAGCCTCGAGCTCAAAGTCGCTAACATCCCTGGGGCTGGGGGGAACAGGAGCAGGAGCTTCTGCGATGACCACAGCGAGAGTAGCGAACAAAGCAAGAGCAGAGAAGAACTGCAAGAAGTTGGTCAGCCAGAAAAATGGGCAAAAATCGACTTCCATGCCTTCATAGTGATTATCCGAGATTTACTGTTTGCTGGATGTTGGGAAGACAAGAGTCTGAAGAAATTGGGTGTTCGTTGACCTCTTTTATATCGTTTGCTCGTCCAAAAAGAGAGGCTGAAACTCGCAAGGTGGCTCTTGGTTGTACAATAATCGATCGAAAGGGACTACCATGTCCATGGCAGATGGATGAGTATCAGTGAATACAAGAATCTCTGCTTGGCCGACATCGGTGTAAAATATTTCTTGCCCTGGA